CACCACTTGCACCAACAACCTCAGCCTGTCTCAGGTGGCAAAAAGGCTAGGGATGCCCCTGAGGGCAGGGGTATCCAAACTTTAGCCCTCCAGCTGTGGAATTACAAGTCTCCCAAAGCATTGCAAGACTCTGACAACCACAGGCAGGACTTCCAGGAGCAGAGGCATGATGGGAGTTGTACTTTCAGCACAGCTGGAGGGCCGAAGTTTGGCTACCCCTGCTGTAGGCTCTTCCCAGGTTTCCAATAAATAAAGTAAAAAGTGCCTTGTGCATTTGATCAATAAATAACGAAGTCCACGATTAATTATGCAAAGAACTTTGCATAGAACTCTGAAGCTGGCCATACACCTATAAATTATCTGCAGATTTTCTTTGGTCAGATGGGAAAAGTGCAACAGATTCCTCCATCTTAGCTATACTGTGTGGATGGAGGAATCTTGGACTGGGTCAAGCTACAGTATCTTGCTAGTCGGCCCCGCTGGCTGTCAAAACACCTGAGCAATGCCTGCATCCAATCAGATTGTTCAGGTATTTTGACAGCCAGTGGGGCCAACTAGCAAGATACTGAAGTTTGGCTCAGTGGGAGATTGCTCCAGCCACACAGTTTAGCCTAGATGGAGGAATCTGTTGCACATTTTCCATCTGACCATAGAAAATCATCAGATAATCTATAGGTGTATGGCCAGCTTGAGTGAGCAGCACCACACCCCTAGCATATCAATGAGAAAGAGATTCAATATTTTAATGGGGGTTTTTTAGGTGCTCAGTGACAAAGCCAAAAATGATTACAATTGTCTAAATAAAGAATTGTTTAATAAAATTTTGATGTAATAATTTTTGGCTTTGTCACTGAGTACCTAAAAAAAAAACCCCCATTTAAATATTGAATCTCTTTCTCACAATGAATTATGTTGCACTGAATTACTGTTACATTTGACAATCGTGCTTCTTAAATTGCTGCAGTTCTGTAAAATATTGCGCACATTTTTTTGTATGGCAGGATTGTTGCATACAAGTTCTCCCAAATGTATGTAAATATTTCTGGATGTCTTAGGTATATAACTTTATAGGAAAAGAACATTGTTGTTAAATCATGAATTCTTATTTGTTAAACTTTGAGAAAGCATAACGGATCTTGTTAAAAAAAAAAACAAAGTGGGAAAAATTTAAATAACCCATCAAAAAAGTACTGAGGCTCACAAATGCCTTTTTATAGCTGCCTATATAGCACTTCTATAGTAATTTGCATAAAAACTGCTGAACGATGATATTACAGGCAGGTCTGTTCGGTGGGAAGCTGGTGCTGATTAACATACAGCTGCTGGGCAGAGCAGTCAAACAATGGCATGACTCAGGGACAGTTACATTCAAAATATGAATAATGGCCTTTAAGGTGAGGTCATTTACAGACAAGGATAACTGTTATGTGCAGGTGAACCAGCCACCATTGGATTTATGTAAGAATCTGTATGCGCGATCTTAAAGCATATCTTCAGATTTTTTTCAAAATCCACCCTCCGTTAAAAGGAAAACGACATCCTTCCTGTGGTTTATCCTAATTCCCTGCCTACCATTCATCTGTTAGGTTAAATTATGCAAACCCCCCCACCCACCCTCTAAATGTATGCGAAATCTCAAGGAACCCCAGTTTAAAATGTAGTGGATTTTAAGGGGGGACCCCAAACAAAAATGCAAAAAGTTCCTCCCTTCACATCACAAGCCCCCCTTCACATCAGGAGCCCTCTTCACATAAGAAGCCCCCCTTAGTTCAGGAGCCCCCCATCACCCTTCTGGTCAGGAGCCGCCTTCACTTTAAAAGCCCCCCTTCACATCAGGAGCTCCCCTTCACATCAGGAGCCCTCCTTCACATCAGCAGCACCCTCCTTTCACATCACTGTTCACCTTCACATCAGAGTCCTACCATCACAAAATTTTAAGGCACCCCTGAGGAAGTCAAAAAGCACCCCAGTGCGGTTGAGAAAAGCTGGTCTAGTGGGAGGACCCCAAGACATCACCTGACCACCTAGAAAAAGGTGTAAAAAAGAACCAACACATGGTTAACACATGTGGCCAGGGGGCAGTTTTTACCACTCCCCAGCTGCCCACTGGAAAGTTAGCATTGCAGCTAAACAGTGCTGGACATATTGACATGGCCGCAATGTCTTGCTTCATTGTGCAGAAAAATTAGACCACCTTCTGACTAACACGACCACTGAGATGAATGGGACTGAGTGGAGCGGTAGTTTCATGAAAAATACCACTTGGGATGAAAAAAAAAACAGGCATTTATTAGGCGATGTATCGTCTCCTGAATGCCTGGAAGCCGCTGCTCTACTGCATCATAGAAGGTTGTTGCAATTTCAGATAGCACTTCTCATTCCCCTACTACTACTGCTGGGTACATTTCAACCCTGGAGATAATTTAGCAACCAATCCAAATTCATATTTCCCCGATTAAACTCAAATCTGGTTGCTATGTATTAATGCAATTTACACACCACCATTGCTCTTTACACTGCTGTGTCGATTAAGGCACCCATACACATGAGATGACAGTTGCTCCATCAATTGTCAGATGAATCATGTGACAGTCTAGTGTCTATGTGAAGCTGGCCATACACTGATACATTTTCGTACGACCAATCTTACAAAACATCTTGTCAGGACATTCCATCATGCCAACAGAGAGGTGACGAATGCTGTTCAAAATTTCGTTTGATTTTTACATTTGGATTTGGAAATTCGAAATGTAAAAAATCCTGCATCTACAATGGCCAAAACGATTGTTGATTTCACCACAATAATGGAGTGCTAAAGTCCCAGCATATGATATCCAGTTATAACATCAGCATTGTACTAGGACTACATACTAGAGTTCTCTAGACCGGCTGACACCCTGCTGTGTCTTCATCGCTCGTGCGCGTGATGTCACCTCGCCCGTGCACGAAGTTATCATCTGATTGGCGGCTGCCGGCGGCCATCTTGGTGATGGATGCCGGCAGAGAGAGGAGGGGATGTTCACACGGCGGGATGCGGAATTCCGCCGGGTCCCCTGCTCTCTCCTGCCACTGTCGGGCTCTCGGTCCATGACCGAGTGCCCGACTTTTTAGAGGGGGTGACACCAAAATGACAGTCATTTTGGTGTCACCCCTGCAATGGTGACACCCAGGTGCTAGCCGCATCCACCTTGTGACGCCACTGGAGTTGTCTTTGATAATGCAATCAAAGCTTACTTGAAAAGATCCCTTTTATGTAGTGAGTGCTGCCTTCCGTCTGTCCATCACTTCCAACAACTTCCTGTATTCCCAGTGTGCTTTGTGTCTCTTTCCCTGCTGCTTGATGTGATGTCATCTTGATTTCTCTAGACTACATATCCCATCATGCATTGCTTCCAGCAAGCAATGCTGCTGTTACATTGTGGGAACTTCACACATTGAGTTGTAGTTCATATGGCAAGCTTAATTAGAGTGGTGACACAAGAAAGTACATATTCAGAGGCCTGAGTGAAATTGTGTCACTTCATTGAGGGAGTGCATTCTGTGGGCATCTTCATAAGGTAAGTTTAAAAACTACGACATTAATATGGTTATTAGGAGTGGGAGAGGAGTTATGGAAATTAAATATAGAAATACATATTTATTTTTAGTTTTTAACCATAGATACCCTTTATCATAAATACCCTTGCAGAAGTGCATACATAAGTCAAATTTGTGTATAGTGATGCACCAGCAGACACAGGTGACTTATGCCTGCACTTCTGACAGCCCCCTTTGTGATTTGGGGAACACTAGACTGGTTTGACTCAGTTTAAAACCCGAAAAATGGGAAGACCTGGCATATGTGCAGCCTCCAGCAATGAATGGGTTATCTGAAGTTTATTTCACCTGTCAGGGGAGACAGAGGATGAGATCATATCAGCACACAGAGATAGTGATAACTGCAGTGCTAGTGATAGGGTTCAGTTGCAGGGAGGGGACACTAGTACCTTTGTATTACTGGACATTTATCTGCCAGCTACAATTTTCCATACAGCACTCTTGCAAATTTTCTAGAGGAATATTTGCATGTCATCTCCAGTCCTGACAAGGTATTTGTATTTGTGCCTCATGCATAAGAAGAGCTTTGCAGCATTAAGGGTGGAAGGTCAGACATTACAGTATTACTACAGGCAAAACGTTTCTTTTAAAGATTTGGATAGAGTAGTGATGGGTTAGAACCCCCATTAGGTTTGTATTGCTGTCTGTGACAATTATAGAGATTTGCTCTCTTTTCCTGATCACCAATGTCACTGGCAATGAAAGTGATGGAAAAATGCAAATGTTTGATTTGTCACCAGAACAGGAATAGAGGGAAAGTTTTTTAATGGGTGAAAGATATCCTCTTACTTCCTGGTGAGGGCTAGGTATCGCTCTGGCCAGCGTCCCGCCCAGCTCCTGGCAAGCAGTGACATCACTGGTTGCCAGGAGCTTGCCGGGACACCGGTCTGAGTGTCCCAGGTTGCTAAGAGGGGAGATGTGTATGGCCCCTACCGGGAAGATGTGTGTACCCGGCAAGAAGGCGGCACAAACATTGTCCCCCATTGGAAGATTTCCCACCTATTCCTGTTCTGCTGGCCACCCAAAATTTGGGGTTTTCTTTTATTGATAACGATCACAAGTACAAATATAGACGGTGACAAACAGCAATAAAAACCTGACAGGTGTTCTAATCCCTCTCCACTCCATTCGAAAATCAAAAACAAATTCTGGCTTTAGGTGCAGTTTAAAAGACACACATTAATGCAGCTCTGTAATCATTAATACATCCTTAAATGTATTTTTTTTTAATGTAAGCAGTTTAATTAACTGGATTTAACCTGGAATCAAGCTTCAGCTTGCAGTCCCTGTACAGTATAGCTCTGAGAGAAAGGGGGAAAAGCAGCACCATGAGCTAATCAGGTGTGTTGCACTGCAAAAAACATGCTGATAGGAGGAGAAAGCAGAGGGACAGAAATATGAAATCATTAGTGTGTTGCTTTTCCTTTCACTGTCTTGTCATAGGGTGGGGATAGGGAGGAGACCTGTAAGTAGAAGTGATACTGGAGCAGAGAAACATCAGTTCTCCTCTCCTCAGGCAAGGCTGTTGTGTGACAGAACTGTGTAAATCTCTGGGTGGACAAATTATTTGGCATCGATATGTATTTCATCTGACTTAAGGTTAAAGCTGAGCAACTGCCTGGAGCTCAGCTTTAACCTTAAGTCAATTCTGGACCTTCTTCTTGTCTTTACAATATTGTCCTGGCTCTTAGATTTTAGTAACTAGTACATGAGTGTTATGTGCGCCATCCATCATTAGTAAAAGGTTCGCACTGGGATGAACAGCAATCACATGTAAGCAGGAGAGTCCCACACATCTTCTGCTTCAAAACCAAACTTTTACACCAAGCCAAGAGGTAACACCTGTAGTATAGTCTTGACCAGGCCTGATTTTAAGGTGCCCTGTAGAAAATGTTAGTGCCCTGTAGAAAAGAGTTAGTTCTGCATGACCGCCAAGCAACTAACATTTTGAGAAGGTCAGCAAACGAGGTCTTACTTTTTTTATATAACAAATTTCCTTTGAAGGAAACTTGTGCTTTATCCATTGTAACAGTTCCTACACCAGATCACCAAAATGGCATTTGGTGTACAGTTTTGAAGGTGTAAAGAGGATATGGTGCCACCAGGGTCCTCAGCCATGCAGGTTGTGTGGTTCCAGGATGTTTGTTTGGAGTGGAGAAAACCGGCTTGGCAGTTTTCTCCAGGGTTGCTAAATCCTGGTCAGGGTCCTGTAGCCCGGAGGCTTTGTAGAGACTTGGGTAGGATGAAGCCTTCAAACCTGGGTTCATGCTTTGGTGGTGACCAACGCCCGTTGATTGTGCAGCTATGCACAGCCCTTATGGTATGAGTGCTGACTAGTGTTTATGGCTCGTCCCGGGAGACAAACTGATGCACAAGCAGCAAGAATGTGGACAGAAGCACAGGGAGAATATCCCCAGGGCTGAGGTGTGCATTACACTGTGTCATGCTAATGTGGGGAACTTTCTTTTGGAATAAAAGTAGGCAAAGGGCCCTTAAACTTGCTTTACTGGCTTGGCTCTGGTTCATCAAAAGCAATACATTGCAGCTGATCCCTCAGACAACAGGTTCACTTAATTTTCAGCCCCCTCACTGTTTATACGCTCTTTCCTTTTGCATATCATCTAGCATATTCATGTGCCAGAGTGAAAAAAAAGAAACCCTGGTCATAGCTTACTTAGGGCTAAAGACTCTCTCACCCGTCCCTATGTGACCTAGTGATTGGATATTTGAGCAACCCAAACTCTACGCTTCTGCCCTATTCTGTGACTTTCTAAATACTGTGGCCGTGCAGTATACAGTATGTATGAATAAAGTCTGCCACACATGATAATGGTGTGCTGTCTCCAGATCAGATATCATCTTTATTTAACTAACAAATCCTCATGGTTGTTAGCACTCAAACACGAGATCTTGTTTGCACCAGATGCACTGTCATGCTTTTTGCCGTATGTGTCCTGCACATTATAGAGCTCATTCACATGAAAGTTTTGTAGAAAGTCCCGTATATGTTACATTTTGAAACCGGCATTTGTTTTTCATTGTAGTCAAGAAGCACTGGTGAACATAAGTTCTGACACAATGCTAGTTAATGGATGCATTTTGCAATGCATATGATGTGAATTAGCACTAATGTATGCATTTAAGAAAGAGAATACAAGTTTACCTATGTTCCATCTTTCCTGTTTGCTATCTTTGTGCAGCTCATACAGTAGATGGTATGTGAAGGGGCTTCCGTCATACTGAATTAAAGTGAAGAGTAGAGAAACCAATTCACAGAGAGGGGGATTTATCAAAACTGGAGCAGACAACATCTGGAGCAGCTGTGCATGGCAAGCAATTAGCTTCTCTCTTTCATTTTCAAATCTTAACTAAACAAACTGAAGAGAGAAGCTGATTGCTTGCCCTGACCATTTTGTCAGCTCTATTTTTGATAAATTCCCCCCAATCCTATGAAAATTACTTATCTTTTTTTGACACATTTTCCCTGTGAGGGAAACATTTCAAAGATACCAAACTGGATGTAAATCCTAAAGATTGTAATCCTGATGACTGTTGTTTATACCTTTTATTGAAAACTGTAATAAAAACATATCATTAAAAAAAACGTACCTATGTGAGGATCAGTCTCTGTGGCCTGTGAGAAGTTATTAAGGTGTTTAGGAAAAACTTCCAATTCCTGAAGCATTATGTCTGAATATTGCTGAAGAGAAGAGCCAGGAAGAATTACTTAGAATAGCTATATTTATAAATAATATGGATACTGTATATAGACAAGCAGTGTTGCATAAAAAGAATTCTACAAAATACATACAGTAACTTCTACAAAGTCCATGATATAAAATACATTTCTCTTTTTCTAATTAAAATGAGTCAGTGAACTCTTAAAGGGCTTTATATATACACCTGCTGCTGTCAGAATACAATGGCCTGGCAGGGAAGATTCCCCCATCCATGCTGTTTGGCATGGGAAGAAGGGGGATTCAAGCGTTTTTTCCCATTCATCCTGTGGGGCTGAACAAGAAAAGATATAAACTATAGGCCAGCTTTGGGCTACCAGACAGTCTCTTATATCTCACAGACACCCTATTGGTGAGATATCCTGTCTTGATTTTATCAGTCTGCTTACATTCTGTGACCATTGTAAAGGGCTCTCATGCTCCCATCTGGATGTCTTTTTACTACTGTGAACAATACAACAGGAGGAGTTGGAACGCACAAAGGTGGGCCATTAAACCCAAACTCCTAGGTGAGGGGGATCTCATTGTTGGAATATCTAAGACATATAAGAAGCTGGGGTTTCACTCAGCCCACCATGCTTCACCTATATTTGCAATATCAGTTTTTGGCTGGACTGAACCTGTAACTGCTAAATACCTTATGGAAGAGTACTTGTTGGAGTATCAGTACATAATCTTGCACTTAGAATTTATCAAATCTGGTTTGGAAGCTGGGTGATGTATTGTTCATACAGAAAAGCTATCCATATTTACATCTTAAATCGATCTTGAGAAGGAATGTTGAATCAGGAGCCATGATGGTTCACCAGCATTTCACTCCTCCAGAATAGTCTTGTGGATACTTAATGTTGTGTTGCCCAAAGATCGGTAAAACTAAGGAAGCCTAGCATCCTCATAGTGACAGAATTTCCTTGTTAAATGTGAGAGCCCAGGGGGCATTTGCCCACTTTCACCGCTCAGTGACAGCATTTACTTGTTAAAATGAGAAAGCCCAGCCAGGGGGCATTTTCCTGTATAATCCCTTACCAGCTTTCCTTTGCCATAGACCAGAAAAGTATGTGCTAAAACTTCAATGTAGATAATACAAATCACAGGTACCTTGCCAACCCCATGTTCCTGTTGTGTCCAGCACTGTGCAAAGTGTCAAGAGCATAGATAGTTTCTATTACCATAGAGAACAAAGGCCTATGTGGTAGAACTTTTTACTCTCAAGAATGGGAAAACATAATCTCATGTCTCTTATACACTCACAGGCTTGTAAAAACAGCCATATAAAACATATACAATAAATTAAAAATACTTACTTGGCAATTAAAGGGTAGATTGTCAAATCTGTGAGAAGTAAGAAAACATAAATTGTCAGGCAACATGTCTTCACTAAACATTGCATTATATATCTTCTGTTATGTGTCTACATTTACTAAAAGAGTTTGTGACTCCTCTGAAAATGCTAGTTTCATTCTTATCCAGTGGCTTCAATACTTTCTGATACATATATCATGCTATATCATGCAGATTAGGAGTTCTGATTTGACATACTGCCTATTCGTTCCAGGTCAGTGAGCATTACATCTGAAGACAGAAACAGCCAGGCCAAATGCACCTTCAGAAGGAAGCCAGATGTGGTAACCCCAATACTTTTCTCTTAACAGGATTACATTAAAACAAAAATGAGCAGACTACACGTGTGCCCAGGATCTCACAATTTCAGAATTTCATGACAAATGGATTAACTGGTTTCTATTTCAGTTTCTTCTTTTTGTCTGTTATTAAATAATAAATGGGGTTCTGAGCAGAAGGAGCTTGCTAAGGAGGAACCTATGTACTTCATTGGCATTTACTATTTTTTTTTTCCTGTGTTTCCAGTTACTAGCAAAGTTTTTGAAATTCCCCTTTATATTTTGCATGTCCATGCTTATTATTTAGAAGATTCAATGAAGACTGAATCAAATGAATGATCTTTCAACTAAGTATTTTTTAGTTAGAATTGAGAACATTTACCAACAAAATTTGATGGACAGAACAATAATTACGGTATAACATTCTGGGTATGGCCAGCTCTTTCTCCTATTTGAAGTAATCCATTTCTTGGAACTCCATGAATGTGAGAGTCAAGAAACAGGACAGGCAGTCAATATTATTGTAAAGGTTAAAATTCTGATGCAATCAGTCCAACTGTCTAGATCAACAGATAAAAATTCAATTTGTTTTGACTAATTCCTCCTGCTGTGCTATTTACACTGACTGACACCTAATACGATTAACACAACTTCCTGAGCTATAGTATTTACACGGAAACCAAAGGCAGGATCCATACCCTATGTCCTATATCGGGACGAGCTGTTCTCCAAAGCTAGGTAATTGGTCATAGACATAAGAGGATGGTCATGATGCAAGCATATGGGGGTTTTCTATCAGACAAGCTGTAGGCATGGACATAAAGGCATCACCCAAGCCATGCTTTGCTATGCTATGGGGAAGGGAGGAGGCAAGCATGTGTAGATATTTACAATGTTGGATTACTTCGGAGGAAAGCAGAGTAATTGGCCTGGATTCAAGAAAGCTGGAATTGTACCAGTCAGATTTCTTGTGTTATGTGAAAGATGAAACTGTTAGTCATCAGTAACAGCAAAACATTTTATTTCATTTCCAGATTTGATAACTCAGCCTTTCTCAAATCTTGTAGTTGACAGTATTTGTATAATATATTTGCCATTGGTATGCACAAAAAAATGGATATCAGAGGGGTTCTTTGTATATCAGGTACAACAATTAAGAAATAAAATGCTGTTGAAACAAACATTTTAGCAGGAGCTCTATAGCCTATCAAACATGACTGTATGAGGAACACAGGAGAATTCTGTGACAGTGTGCAAAGTAATATGCTGATTGCTAGCGTACTGCCCAGTAACACTCCAGCAAATATAGAAAAGTAAAAAAATCAACACAATAAATGAAAAAGATTTCAAACAGATGTCATGTAAAAATTGCCATCCTGTGTTAAAATGCACATTGTTATGGCAGGAAACCATGAGACCAGTGCTCGAATATATTACCTTATGAAAATGAGCATAAAATGCACTTTAATGCACATTATTATTGCATGTTAATGCACACAAATAACAATAACAACCATATACAACCTAATTACGGTCTTACTATTTCATACTTTCTTGTAAAATAAAATACTGTATATCTTTGGTTAAAAAAAATGAAGAAGCAGTTCTGAGAAATTAGATTCTGTATTACACAGTTTCCAAGCATACTGGGAAAGAACAGCAGAAGTTTTAAAAAGCAGCCATCTGAGTTTTACAATATTATTCATCCTCTGTGTAGGTTTTTCAGACTAGAAAAGGAAATCTTATGGGGAATTTGTAGTGACCATAATTTGCCATCTAAAAAAGCAATTTATATCTTCCAGTCTTTGGATGTTGTTAGCGAAAATGAGCATACTGGCTAAAGTGTAGCTGGAAGGGGCCAATATATCTGCAGTTAAGGACCCAAGACATTTTCGATTACCTCTAGTGAGGCACTGGGTAACTGGACAAGTGTTTAGACATAAACTAGCATAAGAAGAGTCAAGCTGTTAAGCTGAAAGGGTGCAATGATATATTAGGTATTTTCTGAGATCAATCTCTTAAGAAGTAGAAGTTTCCTACTGACTGAACATATATCCATGCGCTCATCCTTTTTCATAAAGACATTCAGCTAGTGTTCTTCATTTATTAACGTATGTACAATAAAAAAAAAGTTTATACTAATTGACAACAGCCAATTAAGTTTAAACTTTATTTTTTCCACAGTCATTTTTCCTGTGCGGGTTTGAATGCCTTGGGGCTATGGAGAAACTTTCTTTTTCAGAATCTTCAATAAATTATGTCCATATCCAAAGAAAGATGGAATCTCATAGAAAGTCCTAGTGTACAGACCTTATGGCTTTGTGGTCATTCTCTGCTGAGCCCTGTTGTTTAGTTTCCTCTTTCTCAGAATACTTATACTTTATAAAAGTCAGCATCTTGTGTTTGGTTCTCAAACCTTTGGGGCACCATTACCAGTAACTGCTTATATACGGTATATGCTCTGTTGGTTGTGCTTCTGTAGTCAGAAACACTTTGGTTAAACTAGACTAATGCATCATTTAATACGCCTCCTTATTCATGATCATAAGATGTAATATTCCACTCACCCACAATGGCTCTCTTTCTGTGCTTGTCACTGTCCCAGGGGATGATATTTGCATAACAGGGAAAGGACAATGCTTCAGAAGTCACAGCAAACATTCTATTTTAGTACAATATGGTACAATGAGACATAGCTAATATTTATGTATGTGCCAGCTAATAAGAGGCACATGTATCCTTAGTATTCTGGACACATAAAAAGCCTTAAAGGTTAAGTCTAGTTTAAATTACCAAAAGGCTTTTTATAGATTTCGGCAACACCTTGGACATGATCTCTGCACCAGAGTTCTGAGCTCTTTGTCACAAACATAAGCAATATTAGGAGGTATAACTCTTCTTGCTGTATTTTTTGTATACATTTTAAAGAATGGACCAGGAGTGAGATTCCCTTGTCCAGCTTAGCGATAGATGAAGCCTTTGAGTATTTCTCCAGTGACTGCCCATAGTTAAAGTATAAATTTTGGACTTTAGAACTCCGCTTTTCAAACTTGAATATAGCATAGGCCAGTGTAACAATCTGCTTACTTTACAGAATCTGCCTTTCTGTACAGGAACTGGAAGAACTGCGCAATTTCGGATGTTTAAGTTAGCCTGCTACCATGTAGAAACCAAGACATCACTGTATCCAGTGTCTCCTAAAATCGATCTGAGTTTGTATTCTTGATGAAAACAATACCTACTCATACCCTGTTTAATAAGGTACGAATGCTTTTAGGAGAACTCTTTTGTAAAATCCCAGTTTACTGTTAGGTCTGTGGCCTTTTTACAGTAAAGGCAAAATTACAAGCCCAAGTGGCAAAATTGATATTTTTAGAGCTTGTTTACACAAAAGGGAATGCGTTAGGTAACCAGTAATATATACTTAGCTCATGATTCTACCTTCTGATATAAAATTTATCAGAAAGTTGAATTGT